TTCGAACACGTTGCGTGGTAAGACAGCACCTGACCCGGAACAAATTAGGGGGAAATTGTCACAGGTAAGAAACTGAAATTCTATATACACTTAAAGCTGCCTACAGAAAGACTATATGTTAAATGGTTTAATTAATATTTACGCATCATGTATTATCCTTTATTTATTACAGCTAATCACAGAGTGCCTGCTTAGAAACCTTAGGCAGTAAATAAGTAATGTTGCAGACGATATTATAGCTCTAAGATGTTTCTGTGACATTTAGAAAAGGAAGAAATCAAAGAAAAAGAATTGTGTTTTTTTTATATACATTATCTCAATAACTGGCTTTTTTGGGGTATGATTTCCAAGGTGCGTCAACATCAGCAAGTTCGTTTTCCCATCCTGCACCACCTACATATGGTAGCCATTCAACAGGATGCTTCGGAAATGCCAAGAGTACAGTTCAAAAGGCATGTTCAGAAATGCAAATTGTTAAAGGCATACTTTAACAAGGGGATAAAGAAAAGGAAGACGATCAAAACAAGGGAGATGGCTGGAAGGCCGTGGAATTAGTGATTCTTCACTGCATAGTACGGCGGAGATACAGAAGAAAATTCTGCAGCTATTGTGCATGCCCAAAAAGCAAATGCACCCTTTTGTAACTTTGGTCCTTGCAGCTGTTTGATGTTATGCACCACAGGGTGATATTCTAGCAAGAGGACAGGAAAGTTTGGGAAGACAGTGCTTGCCTCTGAGTATCTCTACACAGTGAAATTCACCTGTTCGATGGCTTCCTTCTGCAGTACGACAGACACCTCTTCTAGGAGAGGTGGGGAAGAGAGTGTGATGACAACTACTGGAGTGACGGGGTTCTGGTTGAATTGAATATGATAGCCCTGAGTTACAATGGACAGCACCCATTGGTTCGAGGTGATGCAACGCCAGGCAGAAAGGAAGGGTGACAGACATGTTTGAACTGACTCGGTAGGAGGGAAGTCAAAAGCCCTGCTTGGAGGACCTTGGTTGTTTGGTGCGTGAGGGTTGTTGTCCAGTTCCAAACTTAGGCTTTTCAAAGGTAGGTCTTTGACCACCGGAAGCTGTACATGGCCTCCATTGCCTATCTGGAGACTGACGATTTGGAGTGCGTCTCTGCCAGGGCCTAGACCAGGTGCGAGGGCGATATTGTTGCCTCGTAGAAGGTGACACCCCTAGAGCGCGAGATGCCTTTATGCTCTTATCAGTATCCTGGAGCATGGTATCGGTCATGCTGTTAAAAAGGCCAAGGCCATCAAAAGAGAGGTCTTCGACATATGGCCTAGTATCTTGAGGAAGATTGGTATTGCAGAGCCAGGTGTGTCTCCTCACAGCGATAGCTGAGGCCATTGTTCTGGAGGAAGCCTCTAAAGCATGTTTGGACGTGTTGAGCTGCTGCTTCGAAAGGACTATGCCTTCCTTCTGAATAACCCTAGCCGCTTGAAGCTTGTCTTCCGGGAGGTGGGTTAGGAGGTCGGAGAATCTTTCCCACAGAGTATATTGATATCTGTTCATGCAGGCTAGGTAGTTAGTGGTTTTGACCCCTAACGCACCCGTGGAGTAGAAACGTCTCCCGAATGCATCTAATTTCCTACTTTCCCTGTCAGAGGGTGCCGAGTGTGATTGTTTCGACTTGGACGAGGATGTGACGACTACCGAATTTGGTTGAGGGTGGAAAATAAAAATTCGGCACCTGTCTCCTGGACTCTGTACATGTGGTCCAGACGTCTTGTCGACACCGGGGCTGAAGACGACTTTTCTCATGGGGCCTTGATAGCTTGCAAGAGGACTGCGGACATGCGGAGTGCAGTGGTAGTGGAGGTATCCAGTTGCACAATATCATAAACAGGATCAGTAACCTGTGGCTGTTGTTGTACCACAGAAAGGCCGAGAGAGTGGGCCATTCATTTAACAAGGTCAGCATAAGAAGTAAGATTCTCGGATGGTGATATAGGGAAGTCCTCCGCGACCGCCTGGTTCGATGACTTGTGGTCAGGGGAGGTTTAAATCTCCGAAGCCTCTGAGTCAGATTCTTCATCTCCAGAGTCAGAGCAGCCCTGTTCTGGTATTTGTACTGGAGTAGCTTCGGGTTGACTAGTTAAAACTTTTGGTGGAACGATTTGGGGGGTGGCAGAACCCAGAGGTTCCACTTGATGGTGAGAAGGGTCTTCAGCCGGAGGTCAAGACAGCGATGCTGAAGGTCTTGATTTATGGGGTGACCTTTATCTGTGAGCAGAGTAGGTCGAATGCCATAGAGGTATCTCAGTTGGCGGTGATCCCACGACATCGGTGGTGGTGGGGAATCAAGACTCTAGGGGATCGATTTCTAGACCGATCACGTCTCGGAGACAAAGGAATGTGCCGTCCTTGTGAACGGTCTCTCAAAACTTGCTCATCGATATCGACTGTATTGCCATGCAGGCATGGAGGGTGACGCTGCATGCTAGAATGAATGTGTCGATTCTGACCAGCATCGACGTCGGGAGCTTCCAAAAACGTCGATGTTGACGATGGAGAAGGAGAGAGGGAAATCTCTGCACCAGTGGTGTGACTTAGGAGTTCCACATTCTCGATGTCGGAGTAAAGACGCTCCAGTTGTTGAATAGGAGAGTCCAAAATTTGAATGGTAGATATTGGTGGAGGAGTGTGGGTGTCTGATATCGATGGAGCAGGCGGCACTATAGGGCCATCAGCCAGTGCAGACTCCGCTACCTTCACCTTCTTCGCCGCTTTGAGGGGCTTGGAGGAACCCTTTTTTGTGGACTTCTCCTTACTTGCCTTGGGTCTCTTCTTCACTGGTGTTGAGGCGGAGGATTGCGCCTTCGATACCGGAGGCTTCGGCGTCGATTGGACGATATCAGAAGCAGACCCCGATACCGGAGCCGTCGAGGTTGAAGGTCTCTCAGAGTCCATCGTTGTGGTAGGATTTAGAGCGGATTCTAGGAGCGCGACTTTAAGGCGAGCAGCTCGGTTTTTCCGGGTTTGATTGGAAAATCTTGCACAGTGCTGGCACGAGTCAGATCTGTGAGACTCCCCCAAACAAAAAATACAGAGAGTGTGGCGGTCAGGCAGTGCGAGTTTACTACCGCAAGGTTGACATCAGTTAAAAAAGCCCCACTTTTTCTCCATAGAATATAAAAGTAGTGGAGAAAGAAGGGGGGGGGTAAAGGCCGGAGGCCAAGCTGAGGTAATTCCCTCTCAGGAAAAATAAAGGTGGGTTTTTTTGTAGGTTGGGTAACACAAAAAAAGGATAGAAGAACGAGGAAAAAATTCTAAGAGCCGTGAGGCAAAAAGTCAAACTAACGAACCGATCCGACCGACGGTGGTGGTAAGAAAGGAACTGGCGGGATGTCCGCGCCCATCACTCTGGGCATGAAAATCCGTTAAAAGAGCTTGCTACAGCACCGATCAACCCAGCGCGTGCGCACTAGATCCCATGGGTGTGAAGCACAGAGACCACGTCGAAAATCATCCCCATACTCACTTGAACAAGGCAGCGGTGTAGATGTCCTGAAGTCATCTGGGTTTATCATAAGCAGGTGGGGAGTGTAGAGCTCCTCTGAGCCTGGTGCGGGCAGATTTTCTTTGTTCTGATTTGGCTCGTAGAACTTAATTTTAAGGCACACATACCCTGGTCCTCCGGAAGGATGCGATCCAGCAAATCAAAATGAGAGCACTTAACTGGCAAGTTGCCCGAGCGGTCACTGTGAGCAATTACGTGTTTGTAGTCCTGCCTCATCGCTTTCAACTTCGTTCTGCACTCTGTCGCAGATCTCTTGTGGCCCAGGGCGCGCATCTGCTTAGAGATTTCCTCGAACACATCAATGTTTTTGTGGCTGGCAGCAAGGGCTTGCGAGCAGATCCAAAGTTTCCCCTTTGTGCCATGAGACACCCCTCACACCAGATGGCTTGCTGATGGATGACATGACCCAGCTTCTCTCCACAGAATAGAACAAGGCGATGATGGACACAGGAGGAGGCTGGAGCTGTTACTTGCTAATGGCGGTTGCCGTTCACACTGCTGTCTTCCTCCTACACTTCAATCCTCCTCATTCTAATTTTCCCGCTGCTCTGTCCGCTAAGCCTGATTGGTCAACATGTGGCTATTCCCCCATTGATTGGCTAGTCTGCAAGTGGGATTCTCTTACCTGCCATCACAATGCATACTCTCCCGGGACTCTGACCCACACCGTGTCTGTCGCCATGACATATTGCCACTGGATTCCTGCCAGAAAATGTTGGAGGCAGCCTTTCCAGCCACGATTGAGAACTAAGCAACCCATAGCAAATCACATCTCCCTGCCCTGTTTCGGTAACTACAACAGAAATGTTTCAGCCCTTGTAAGACTCCACTGGTCACGTCACCTGAGGGCCAATGTGGTCGGATGTGCCTAAAAAATACCAAGGGTTTGCATTCCGCTGCCTCATCATTGTGCTGTAACGCGAACAGTGGTTTGTTTTTTTGTTTTTGTTTTTAAAGGACCAATGATCGATAGGCAAAGTTAAGTCATCAGTGCCACCAACTGTGAACATCGTTTACTGTTGGTTGCTCATTGTAAAGCACGTTTGGTCATTAGTCACCAAGGAAGTTAGGGCATGCAGCACATTGGCATGGAAACATGGGCGTGTAAAGAGGAGGGCGTTACATGGCTTAAACGCGAGGCGACCTCAAAAATGCAGGTTCAAGAAGATGCGGGGGAAACTGGAAGAAGATGCGGGTCAAGCTGTGGGTGCGAGGCAACTAGTGGGAAATTGAACAATATACCCGGGGAAAACAGAAGACCCAGGGCGGAACAAGTACTTTTGTGGAATCAGTCTGGGCTTTTCTCTCTTCCTTTGACTGCAACCTGAACCTACTTTAATAAATGTAAGTTTACCTTTTTTGCAATATACTTCTTGGGAGATTTATTTACTGCACTCAGTATCACACTTCTATCACTGGGCAAAACTCCGCTACATTAACCAAATATCCCAACAGAAAGTACCTGCGAGAAGACAATGACTTTCCCCGTGTCTTCATTCACAGCCCGAATAGTCCCCTGTATGGTGGCAGCGCCCACGGCCCTGGCGGTGACCTGCCCGAGTCCATTAACCGTGGCCACGGTCTGGTTACTGATTGAGAAGTGAATGAGGGACTGCGGCTGTGGGCCGCCTTCTGACATCACCTGCCGTGGGATGCAAATGCACACACAGGAAGTTCATTTATTAATTTATTTACAACATTTCTGTGCCGCCTCTTCAGAGTCCTGCTCAATGCGGCTTATAATTAAAAACAGAAGCGGCGTAAAAACAAATCCATAAAACAAAAGCAGGCGGTAAAAAAAAAAAAAGCCCCTCATTAAAAGCCTGGATAAAAATATGCGTTTTGACCTGGTGCCTAAAAGAAAGTAAAGCAGGTGCCTGGCGAACCTCAAGGAGGGGGAGGGGGTTAACAGGGGCAGGGTGCCACCACAGAGAATGCCCTGTCTCTAGTCGCCAGCCGCCTCACCTCTGAAGGCAGGGGCAGAGGGAGCAGGGCTTGAGAGACAGATCTTCACTGCTGGGCTGGAGAGTATGGGAGGAGACAGCCATTAGCTGTTCAGGTCCTTGAAGGTAAGAACCGATACTCTGGATTGTGCCTGGAAACAGGCGGGTAACCACTGCAGACCTTTCAGCACAGGGGTGATACGTTCCCTGTAACCTGACAGCAGCTGGGCTACTGCATTTTCAAAGGCAGGGGTGGAAGAACAAGACACAAAGCACCCCAGGTCTAGACATCCCCTGGGATACAAATGGGATACAAATGTCCCAGTGCTCACCCTACTCTGTTAGGGATTGGTCCCTGGACACGTTTCCTTTGGCCAGATGGTAAGCCTGGGCCAGCACACTGTTTCTCTAAGCTAGGAGTCACATGCATCTCTTTAATACGCTGCCCAGGGTTCTTGTGAGCACTGCTTCCCAACACGGCACCTGCCCCATGTTTCAGGAAAGTGGCACGGCCCTTGCCTGGTCGGGCTTGAGGTGGGCAGGTGGTTCCCACCTTGAAACAGCTGCCGCCGGAGGAACCTGAGATGCAAGCCTCATGATGGGTGGAAGTCAATTACTTTTTTGGTTGAGGGTAATTGCAAATGCAGCTCTCCATGAGCCATGGAATGAGTGCTGCTTCCACCGGGACCTGCAGGCTTCTTGATGTTAGGAAGAGACAGGGAAAGCAGGTAGCTGGACACTGAGCATTTGGCCCCCGGTTTTGGAAGCCACTTTTCATAGGCTCCAACCCCATGGAGCATTACATTTAGAAAGTGAGAGACAGAGAGCAAGGTCAGGGAGAGAAGGAGACAGACAACAGGCAGATTTAACCATTCTTAATTTACCTGCATCATGTTATGTGGAATGAGGGTCATTTTCTTTGGGATGAGTTTGAATGGTGGAAAGACCTGCCACGGACAACAGAAACAAAGTTTGTGATTCACGGTTGTCTTAACCAAAACCAGGCTATAACAACAAAACTTAAAAGAGGACATTGGAGCAACATATCTTTTGATTCAGCAGTGTCTTCTAAAAAACAAGGTCAGATTCCAGCTTTACAGAAGGACATCAGGAAGCCGTCTGGGAACTCGGTTGTTTCATACAAAAATTCTCATCCCTATTACTTTTACAACATTTTCCCCCCAAGCTGCTTTTGGACAGTATTTCTGAGGGGAAAAGGCTTTCCTAAGAGGCCACAATGAGCACACACAAACAGCTGGGGTTTCTCACCTCCACCTTCCGAGGGGCGGATGTGAATTTGGTTCCTGTCTTGTCCCAGGCCGTGGCCACCAGAGTCGTTTGTCCCACAGCCACGGCTCGGAGCAAGTAGACTTCAGAATATTCACCCACTTCCTCCATCAGCCTGCAAGAAAAAGCACTTGTTGGTTTTGTTTGAAGAGCAAGATTAGAATCCGGTAGCACCATAAAGACCAACAAGATTTCCAGGGTATAAGCTTTCGAGAATCAAAACTCCCTTCGTCAGATATCTGTGGGTTTGTTTAGCGAGTCAAATATTTTGCGTTGCTTCTTCCACTGTGGTTCAGGCCTTCGATCATGTACATGCAAACACTTTTTGCTAACACTATTACAACTTTTTTAGATGCAACGGGTGTTTGCAGGGAGGGAAGAGGGCAGGGCATGGCCTGATCTCATCAGATCTTGGAAGCAGGGTCAGTACTCAGAAGAGGGACCGCCAAGGAAGGCTCTGCAGAGGAAGGCAATGGGAAAGAACCTCTGCTTCTCACTGGCCTTGAAAGCCATGCTTCCTTCCCTGTGCACCTGCCCGTCAAAGGGTACGAAACTGCATTGGGGTCTTCGGCCCTCCACCCATAGAATTCCCTGTTCTTGGACAGCTGCTCCTGCTGAGGACGCAACAGTCCTCCCTACCATGGGGAGATGCTGTGCTTGTTTCCTTTCTTCCTGCCCTTATTCCGGTTTGTGCCCGTGAGGGAAGCAGGATGATGTCAGTGAGGTGTGCCACTGTTGGGGAAGACTGGGCAGATGGCTTCCATGTGTGGCACAGGGGCACTATCACCACGCCATCCTGTGACTCGTGTGTTGGTGGTGTCACTGTGGCTTCTAGTGCTGTGCTCTCAGCTCCTCAGAGCTGTTT